CGTGTATTGGTGGGGAAGGGGCAGGCGGAGCAGATCATGCAGGCCCCCTCGGAAGTTCATATACTTGGGCTGCCTTTTCAGGTTAAATCCATGTGACAAACAGAGGAGTGCCCTTTGCAAGTGAGGCGCGTCCTGAGCGAGCACTTGGCGTGTCCTGGTCAGGACTGCTCCATCCTCCGCAGCACTCGGGCCCAATGTGCGCCTTTGTAACGGCAGTGACCAAGCCCCGCCTTGTCCTCTGTCCTCCCCATCCAAACAGAAACTGCCTGTAGAGGGCTTAACCTGGTGCCAGGCACAGTCAGGGCACTGTAAGGTTTCCAGACTGGAATAGACACGCTTTGATGATTACCTTTTCCCCTTCAAATGTAAAGCTCTTCCATTGCTCCTCCGTTATTAGACTTCTCTGCCACTGCCTTGGGGTCATGCACACAAATGAAATATGGAGCAGGAAACTGCCTTCCTGTTTTCTTTTTTTCCCTTTACCTGATTTCAATTCCCTGCCAAGTCTTTGTAAATTGATCGGCTTCTCACGGAAGCTGCCTCAGGCCACCTTCTGGTTTCTGTCGGGAGAACCACCCCTCCGCCCATCCCTCTCATTTAAGCACAGAGAGCAGCGGCAGAGGCGTTTCTCAGTCATCCGCCCCCTGGTGTCTGCACACCGCCCTGTCCCGGGGTGGCTCCTCTGGGATTTGCTCCTCTCTGTCCATTTAGGAGGCTACAAGATGGTCTCACAATCCGAGTGGCAGCTTCCCTTAGACAGGTAATTTCCCTGGGGTCTTAGGGTGTGCTCTGTCAATGTGAGTTTAAGTGAAGCTTCTGAACCCTGGACAACCTGTGGCTAGAGTTGCTCGTGGCCAGCCACCGAGGCCCAGCAGCTAGGTGAACGTGGGTGTGCAGTGGGGCTGGATTTGGGAAGCAGAGGGCAGGGGCTGACAGCTGCTCTGGGACCGGGAGGTGCAGGTGGCCTTCCTGCAGGGAGGGCCTGAGACACTGCTGGGGAGCCTCAGCGCGGAAAGCCCTGCAAACACAGCACACTCTGCAGCCACAGGAAGGCCAAGCTGCCAGTGCTGGGTTTGGAGTCGGTATTGTCGCAAGAAGGGTGAGGGCCTGGGAAACAGGAAGGCAAAGTTTTGTGGGTTTGGTGAGCAAAGCACTTCAGGCAGGTGTGTACATGGCTTATTTGTGTAAACAGGTGGGGAAGAAGGCCAACCTTTTCATGGAGACACAATGCACACACTTATTGTTCTTCCTGGGAAAACAGCTATTTCAGAAACAGGTGACTCAAGAAGCACTAAAATCGCACCATGCAACGTAGAGCTTCCTTGCCCTCATGATCTGCACTTATCACAGGGGCAATGTCCAAGGCACCTTTGCAGGGGTGGTACTACCCTGGCTAACTGCCCTCTGTCCAGTCCTCCAGACCCCCAAGAGTCTCTGCCTCAGGGTGTTTTTTTGTTTTGTTTTGTTTTTTGAGGCAATGAGTTCTCCATCAATAGAAGCAACAAAGCTATGGATGGAGCGGTTCCTTGCAAGGAAACCATGACTAGGACTTGAGTTTTAATGAATGACTGAACTAGAAAACCATTATGGTCTTTTCCAAACTTGGGATGCCTGAATTCTAGCCCATCCCAGACCCTTGGAATGTTTCCTCATTTGCCAAATGATCTCCAAGATTCCCTCCAGCTCTGAAATCCTTCCCGTGTTCTGTTCTGCCTCAGATCACTGTGAAGATATGCATATGTCAGCACAGACTTGGTTTCAACACTAAGTGCCATGATTTTGGTGTCTGTGAATTTAAGAGACAAAGACCAAAGACTGCTCCTGACTTCTGTGTTGAGATAATAACTGAAGCAAGAATGGCTGGAAACCATGAAAATCAGAATGGTTTTAATTCACCCACAACCAAGGAGATCTGACAACTAGATACAAACGGCAACATTTTATCTTTCCAGTAGACACAAATAGGACTGACTTAGGATGATCGAGAGCAACCCCATTCTGGGAAGACAAGGAAGCCTCTTCCTCTTATCCCAAATTCCCTGTGCAGGCCACTTTTCCTCTGAATAGTTTTAAAACTTGCAAGTACATTTCAAAAGGGGCCTAATTCCACTCAGTTTTCAGCAAACAGCTAAGGAGCATGGGCCAGGTGCATATGCAAGAGTTAAGATCACAGGTCTTGAACAAGATGGTGAAGATTCAAATCCAGCATTTGCCTCTGAGCTGTGTGACTTGGGGAAAATTATTTAATCAGTCTGGACTTTGGTTTTTTCATCTATAAAATGGGGATAAGATTAGGTTGGGAAGGAAGGGTTTAGCAGCTGATCTATGAGCTATCACTTATGCCCTGGGATAGGAAGAGGAGAACCAAAAAGACAATGACCTTGTCCATTCTCCATGTAAACTTTCCAATCCGACCTCGTGATGGTGTTTACCAGCAGGAGGACAAGGGAGAGTCCCGTGTGCCCAGAGCCTCTAGCAGCTGCCCGGCCTGCGTGCTCTGCACTGTGCGGCTGTGGGGACAGCCTGCTGGACAGTGTCAGTGTCAGCTACGAAACGGTCCGGGCACGCAAGGAGGCGAGTCGCTGCTTTGATGGAAGTGATGGGCCGCGTGTCCTTTCTAGAGCCCTCGTGCGCTGAGTCTGGACCCCTGCAAACCCTGATGGGGCAAGGAGGACCTGGGACACTGTCTCGATGGCTTCCCACTTCACCTGTGTTTGTGGCGGCCTGTATCCGGTGATTATTATAAGTTTGATTCTGGGTAAGATCTCAGGTTCTTGTGATTTTAATTTGGCAATCTGACTCTGTGTTATCTGATGTTCATGCAGTATTTTTGTGACAATTAAAGCACTTAAACAGGGTCTGGCACATAGTCAGTGCTTTATCAGAAATGTCAGTTATTATCAGTGTTCACAGAAGCACGCATCTCCCTCCCAGTGCTTTTCTCGGCTGTTCCATTTACTCTCTGACAAGCATTCATGGGCCCTTCCTACGTCCTGGGCACAGGCGAGGTTCTCAGGATAAGACCGTGACCCCACACGGGGTCACCCCTCGGACCTTGTTCCTAGTTGTGGAGACGCGCTCTAAACACAGACAGCAGCCAGGAGGCCACACGCTGCTGCCTGCTCCCGCGGGGCAGCTCTCCCGGACGCGGCCGCGCTGCCCGCTGTCTGCTCGCCGTCTCTGGCTGTGCTCGCGCTCCCATGGGAGAGGTGAGCAGTTGTGACAGCATATGTGTGGCCTGCACAGCAAAAGGTGTTTATACCTGGCTCTTTATAGAAAAGGTCTTCCCAACTCTGCATTAAAAAATGAGTATGTAGGAAATAGATGAGCCACAGAGCAGTCCAGTGAAGGTTGATGAGATAGCAGGTATGTGTGTGTGTGTGTGTGTGTGTGTGTGTGTGTATGCATGTGTATACATGTGTATGTGTATATAGTATATGTGTATGTGTGTGTACATATATGTGTACGTGTGCCTGTATGTGTGTGTATGTATAAATTGGTGTGTATATGTGTATATGTGTTGATTTTAGATTAAGTGGTCAGGAGAGGCCTCATGAGCAGGTGACATCTCAGATGGGACTTCCACATCAGTGGCAAGCCCCGTGAAAGCAGAGATGGCCTCTGCCTGGGTTCGCTCCCTGTGTCCCTGGCTAGCACAGAGCCATGACCGGACACCTCAGGGGCGCTGGCGTGAGTGCTGCCCCATGAGCTGGTGATGCTGGCACCCCGTGGGACTAAACACATTTTTACACCCACACATCCACTGCTCCTTGCAACATGTGCTGCTTGTTCAGCCTCCTGCTAACTCGCTGCCCTGCCTGGGCGGTGCCTTTTTCCTGTGCCATTCTGAGCCTGCTCATAGCATGGTGTGCGTGTGTGCACAATGCCCCCTGCACTCATTCACGGCCCATTCTGCCACCCCACTGCAGTGCCCTGCTATCTGGATGGGGACAAATGCTTGTCATTCACAAGTGTGATGGAACCGGGGATGTGACAGCCCACAGAACCAGCAATGTAAAGGGAGAGACAGCAGTTTGGTTCCACTTGTTGTGATAGCAGCTCAGGGTTGTTTCCAACAGGGAGACTAAACAGAAGCGCCATGCACATCATCTCATGGAGGGGCGTGTAGCGGTGTCAGACCTGTCCTGGATGCACCTTCTCAGTCCTGCTTTGCCTCTGGTGGTGGCCCTTGCTGGATGTAGACACAGGGCCAGGAACTTCAGCCTCATTCCACCCTCACCACTCTACAGGTGAGGAAACTGAGGCCCAAGAAGAGGGGAGGTCTTTCCCACTGACACATGGCTAAGAAATGGCAGAGCTGGGGCTAGAAGTGAGTCCTGGGTAAACTAAGGTTCTGACTACTCCAGACTTCACATTCCCACAGGTGCTATGTCAGGTGGCAGCCAGGGGCCTGGGCCTGGGCATCAGGCAGCTCCGTCACCTCCTCACCCATGCAGGTCACCTCCTGTCTCTGTCTTCTTTGGAACTGTCCTGAGCCTTAAATGAGTTCGCATACATCAAGTTTGCCTCCCATCTATGCCTTCTGTAGAACTGTCATGAGCCTTAAATGAGTTCACATAAGTCAAATTCTTAGCCAAGTATAGCACAAAATCAATGACCAATAAATCTTAGACATTACCACTATTATACATTTCACATGGGACTGCAGCTGCTCCACAGGCACAGAATGTAACTTGATTATCTTTGATTCATATCTGGCTCACAGCTCTCCCAAGTGTGAGCTGTCATTGCTATGCTGTTCATGTTACCATCCACTCATCCTTGGGTGAGCGGATTTCCTGGCATCTGCAGGATGGAATGACAGAATGAGGCAGGCAGCTGCACTTAACTAGGGTCAAAGGGGAGGTGAGGGTGCTTCTCTCCCTCTATAAGGTTTACTTCTTCCTGGGCTCTAGGCTCCCCCTCTGTACAAGGAGAGCCCCCAACTTGGGGGTGCCAGGAGCCCCTGGGTGGGGTGGCGAGGAAGGAGGGCACCTTACCTGGCCCACTGCAGAAGGAGGCGATGATGGCCAGAATGCACAGGATGCTCAGGTAGGGGACCCAGAGTGCATGGTCCTGTAAGAGAACAGGGACATGGGCAGGTGAGGAGGCAGCAGTGTGTCCAGAGGACCAGGGTTCCTGCCCCAGCTCCTCCTCATCCATCTTCCTGACCGTGGACAGGACACTTTATGTCCCTGAACCCCAGTTTCAGCATCTATAACACAGGAACAATGGTAACCCCTCAATCATTCCGTCTACTTATTTTACAGACATGCTGTGAAGAGTTTGGCATAGTCCCAGCATATGGGAAGTGGTGAATAAATGAGTAACTCACACTGATTGAATGCTTAGTTTGAAGCAGGCAATATGAGAAGTTTTTATAGGCATTATCACATTTAAAATTTTTTCTTAGTTATATGTATTATTACATGAAGCACCATATTATACCCCTGCCATCCTACAAGATATACATGAGTTAATTCATTTGTCATCTGGGGGGTGGCTTGGTGCTGGGTGCAGAAGGGTATTTGGGATGCTCCTGCTCTAGCAGGCTGGACAGCTGACCATTAGAACACGGTGTCTCCAGTTCTGAGAAATAGTGAGTAAGGGTGCAGGTTCTGGGCTGCCCCAACAGGAGCCACGTGGCCCCGTCTGGAGAGGTGCAGGGAAGGGAAGAGACTGTGCTCACCTCTGCAGGCTGAGCTGGAGCCAGCCCAGTGGGAAATGAAAGGAAAGGCTTCCAACAGAGCGCTCTGCTTGGCGAAGGCGCAGAGGCACGAGAGGGTGGCTGCAGGGTGAGCGGGAACCTTCAGAGTAGAGGGCGGGCCAGGGGAGAAAGGAGCAGGTGCTCCTTCCCGGGTCTGCGCCGAAGCCCGTCAGCTCTTGCTTCGGGAGGATCTCAGGGCTGAGCAGAGCTTCCCGGGCCCCTGTGCACTGCGAGGCTCACTTTGTACCAGGTCATGTACCCACCCTCCACCCAGCTGATGGTCTGAACATCCTCCGGCCATGCCCGGGGAGGTGAGAAAACAGGTATGACGCAGGAGTGACCCTCGCCCTCCACAACTCACTGTCTATTGGGAGAGAGAGGAACCAGGTGACAGTGAGTGTCAATGCTCTGCAATAAGTGATCTCACAGCCTCCCCTGGGGTGTATGGGGACACAGAGAGGGCACCTCCCCAACTTACAGCAAGGAAGGCTTCCTGGAGGAAGAGGTGTCCAAGAGGATCCTTGGCTCCCTGAGTCTGAGAAGCAAGAAGCTAGCTGGGCAAAGGAGGGTCCTTGGAGAGGAAAGGGCCAGGCACCGTGGGGAGCTGCCGGGGGCAGGGTGTGGGGTACCGGGGCAGACAAGGGCAGGCCGGGGAGGGAAGAGCTCTGCAGCCTTGTGAAGCAGGGCTGGGTGGCATCTGCGCGGGCGTCTGCACAGCCCTTCCAAACGCCCGACACAAGTTGCAGAAAGACAATACCCTGGACGTTACCCCACTGGCTTCCTCAGAACCTCGGAGGTCCGAGGGGACTGCAAAGCCACCCTGCTCAGGACAGCCTCGGGCCTGGCCGTGGGGAAAGAGCGCGTCTGCTAGCACCGGTCCCTGAGAGAGGCGGCCCGCCTCCTCCCGCCAGCGAGCCGCCGGCACCGTCTCCTTGAAGTAGATGCTCTTATCCATCACACGCCACCACGCCAATGTTGCCCTTTTCTAGAAATGTCTGGGGCCTTAAGAAAGTTGGCAGAGGGTCAGCACATGCGACTGTCATTTTTAAGGTTCATTTTTGAAAAATGCAGAGATTTCCCAATTGCTGTAACTGTGCTTCCTGCTCCCGTGGCGTCGAGACCAGTTTGAGACACGGAGGGAGCGCTTGGCTGCTGCAGCCGCCCTGGGCAGTGCGGCAGAGCCCCAAGGCCCTGGGCTCTAGTGCAGCTCTGCTGCTGTCTAGCTACGTCACTGTGCGCAGCTTATTATTTATACTCATGCCTCGCTTTCCTCACCTCCATAAAAGGGGAAAACTACCATTCTTGTAGGGACGAAGCATGTTGCTGTCCCTCCTACGCAACACGCAGCCCTGAGCACCCATTCCCAAGCTCCCAGTGCCTTTCCCGTTTAATCCTCACAGCACCCTGGGCATGGGGACGTCTGCCTCATTTTAGAGATGGGACCCTGAAAGAAGCTGAGAGGGTGACTTGTCAAAACTTTCATGCCAAGTAAGGAAAAGCCAGACTCAAACAGGCAGTCTGCTCCACAGCCCCTGCTGGCAGGCGCCAGGCAGTGCGGGGCCCCCAGTGCTGTGCGGGGTGCGAGTGTGGGGAGGGGCCTCTTGGGGTCCCCCAGTGCAAGCGTCTCTATTCCACAGCTGAGTAAACTGAGGCTTAGACAGGCATGCATCTCGACCCTCACACAGCTCACCAGAGGCAGGGACAGGGCCAGAAGTCACGGCACTCGCCTCCCAGTCCAAGGGCCCACCTCCAGCCTCCCTGGGCCCAGCGGCCGCGTCTTCAGGACACAGGCCGCGGCCGCGGCGAGGACGCCCTGCGTGAGCTGCACGCGGTCGTCTCACAGCGTGAGCCCAGAGCCAAACCCCAGTGCGAAGCCAGGCGCCTCTGTGCTGCCCCTCTCCAGGTGTGACGGGCACGTCCTCTCACCTGCAGTGTCAGTGTGATGGTGAGGGCCCCGAAGAAGATTGCCATCAGCCCGAAGCCACCAACGAGCAGGGGTCTCCGTCCCAGGCGCTCAATGACCAGGCCCTAGTCCAGGGTAGAGAGAGAGAAAGGGTGAGTGCTGTTACTCCACTTCTAGCAGAGAGTGGAGGGGAAGGCGGCACCGGGGTTGCGGGTCAAGGCTGGCTTTGACCCTGAGCCAGCCGGGCCACTTTCTTCATGGCCACCGCCCGAGAAACAATGCTCTCTGTGAGAAGGAAGGAAGGGAGGAGAGGAGGTGACGACGCTCGGGCACCTGCTGTGTCTGCATGTCCACCCTTCCTCTTAATGTCCCCGTCAGGGTGGCCTCTTCTGCTAGGGGCTGAAAGGAGGAGCTGGGCGGATGTGGTCAGCACGCCCTCCCTCCCCCGCAGGGCCAGCCTGCCACCGCAGGAGTACTCTGCCCCTCAGGGATGCGGGATTTATGGGGCAGACACGCAAGGCGGGCCAGGGGCGGGAGAGGGTGCACGAGGCTCCCTGCCTCCCACCCTGCCTGTGTCCAGGGGCTCAGTCTCACTCTGGGCTGTGAGACCTGGAGGCTCCCTTGGTGCAGCCCCTGGAACTGCATCCTCCAGCCCAGCCTCTCTCAGCCCCGGGCTGCACTGACCTCCCTCCGCTGCCCTGTGTCCACCTCACAGCTGGGAAAGGGAACAGCTCTTCGTCAAGCCCCTTTACATGCCAAAGGCCCAGAATGATCGTGATTGTAGCCAAGCGTCAGAGACAGGCGCACATGGATTTACATCCCAGCACTACCACTCTCCAGACGTCGGAACTGTGGCAAATGACTTCACTTCCCAAAGCTCCAGGGCCTTATCTGTGCCAGGAGGAACAAAATACCCTCTGATAAGGGTGTCTGGAGGGGTAGGCAGGTTAAAGAGGAGACTGTGCGCAACACAGGTACTCTGATTATGTCAGCTGTCCCCCGCCCTACCATTCCACAAAGAGAACACAAAGAGGACCAGAGAGGTGAAGTAACTCAGCAGATGTCACACAGCCAGCAAGTGGAGAGGGGCAGACATTGAACCCAGGGTGTCTGAATCAAAGTCCATGGTTTTCTCAACTGTGTGATCAGGCAGTGCTTCCCGGGGGCACAACAGAGTCAGAGATGCAGGGAACTTCTCAGGCAGAGGGAGCAATGGGAGCAAAAGCTTGGATGCTGCAAGGACCCCATCAGCTGGCACTGAGGGTGAGGAGCAGCTGCCGTCTTAGGGACACAGCCTGCAGGTCAGCTGCATCCGCTGTGTGCTGCTGCCCAGGGCCACAGGCCTCCCAGTCACCTGGCATGTGTGTCGAGGGGATGGGGGCTCTGGTGCAAAAGTCAGGGGCCTGGGCGGGACATGTGTCTGGTGACTGTGCATCTCGTGCAGCATCCAAGGCTCCTGGGGGGAAAGGCTTCTCTCCCACTGCCTAGGCAGGAAGGGCAGCCCGATCCTGGCCTCCTGGAAATGTGACCCAACAGAGTAGAGCACAGGTGGCATCCGGAGGCACGTGGGGCTGAAGAAGGGCGGGCTGGGGTCACGTCCTGGTGATGACACCATCTTTGCAGGGCAGCTGTGGGATCAGAGGGAAAAAACCCATGTCTGAAACAGACCCACGAATGATAGAGGTTCCCAACAAACGGCAGAAGACATACGAGTCATGTCAACCAAGGAGTGGCCTGGGGTCTGGGGCCAGCTCCTGCCTCTAGCAAGTCAGGTAACCTCTCTGTGTCCATTTATTTCTTTTCTGATGATGACAGAGTTAGTCTAGGTAGCAGTAGCTGATGATCATTTCCTGAGCACCTACTATGTGCCAGGCACGGTGCGAAGCACTTTTCATGGCTCAACTCATTCAATCCCCACAATAACTTTATAGAGTAGGTTCTGTAATTTGCCTATTTTACAGGTAAAAAAATGAGGCACAGAGACCTTGGGACTCTAAGGTCACAAGGCTGGTAAGTGGCAAAGCTGGGATCAATCTCAGTCTTTTCTGGTTCTTGAGATATTACATTTTCCTGGACATTAAACTTGAAACGGACAAAGCCACTGTCCCACAGGGATGCCCAGCTCTCAAACACGAAGAAGACGCAGAGCAATTTGTTGGCACTTCTCACTCGCGGTGCCCTGATTCTTTTTCCCCACGGGGCCGGGTGCTGCATCTGTGATTGCCAGAACCGACAGGACACCAGCCAGCGTTGAGCCGTGTGCTGATGGAGCGCAGCCCGTCTTTCTAAGGCAGGCGGGTGAGCCTTGCTTTGTAGAGGAAGATGGAGAGGTCAGAGAGGGCTAAGGGACAGTGAGTTCATTTAGGGGGAGTGGGGGTGTAGGTCAGGCCCAGCGAGAGCCATGGGGGAAGCAGAGACAGACAGGGACAGAGAGAGAGAGAGAGAAGGCCTGTATTGAAGGCACCCTCCCTGCCACCCCCAGACCCCCATGAGCCAGGTCCCATCAAAGGGGAGACACCGACGGTGCCACCAGGACCAGAGCAACATGGACGGGGAGCTGGGTCCCAGTGAGAGGAGGGGCCCTGTAAAGGTGAGGGGAGCAGGGGAGGGACATCCAGTATCAGAGGCCAGAGAAATCATGCTGCCTCAGTGTAACACATGGTAATCACAGTGATCTGGGCCCAGATCAGAGGCCCGGAGATATTCCAGGATTTAGCAAAAGTCACACAGAGCTAATTATCCAGAGATGAGGGAGTGGGATCCATGCTCTTTCACACCAAGGCATGGCTGTAAGGTGTCCATACTCCTGGGCTCAGTCATTCACCTTCTGGGTATTTTTCCTAAGGAAATAGATACCTGGTCAAAGATTCATGCACAAAGATCTTCATTGGTGTGTTATTTATACTAATGAAGAAATAGAAATAATCTAGAAGTCCACCAACAATTGAATTGTTAATAAATATTAAAACATTTAGATGATGAATATGTAGAAATTAATAGTTTTTTAAGAGACAGGGTCTCTGTTGCTCAGGCTGGAGTGCAGTGTCTGATCACAGCTCACTGCAACCTCCAATGCCTGAACTCAAGTGATCCGCGTGCCTCGGCCTCCTAAGTAGCTGGGACTATAGGAGTGTGCCACCACTCCTGGATAATTATCATTATTATTATTTTGTAAAGACAGGGTCTTGCTATGTTGCCTAGGCTGGTCTTGAAACCCTGGGTTCAAGCAATCCTGCCTCGGCCTCCCAAAGTGCTGGGATTATAGGCGTGAGCCACCATATATGGCCAACATATTTTAAAGGGATTTTTAAGTAGCACAGAAAAATTCTCAGGGTACAGTTTTAAGTAAAAGTAGCAGGACATAAAGTTGTATATACTTATATATGCAGTTACATAAATCACAATTATGTTGAGCTAACACATCCTGGAAAAATATATGCAGAAATGGGTTGTAATGGCCAACTCTGGTTGGGGGAATATGCAGTTATTATTTTACTTGTTTATATTTCAGTTTCCCAAGTTTTATACATGAGCTTTTTCATTTAAAAAAAAAACTAAACTAAAAACAGAGTTAGCTAACATGTAAGAATGCAAATCTCCATCCTGAGCCATCAGTCTTCATTTTTCCCCAGCACCAAATATTTCCAATAGCCATACTGGCAAATTTTCATAGCCACGTAAAATGTATCTTTGCTACAATCTAAGCGCTGAGACCTCTGGTGGAATAACAATGAGATCCGTTTTTTCTGGTTAGGATTTTAAAAATCAACTTTGTCAAAGTATAGTTTTCTTTTAATAAAACATACCCATTTTAATTGTACCATTCGATATATTTAGACAAATTTATATACCCTATAACTACAACTACAATTAAGATACTGAACATTTCTATCACTCCAAAAATTTCCTTGCATCCCTTCCCCCAGCCCCAGGCAACCATTGGTCTGTTTTCCAGGATTAGAGTTAGATTCTAGGATTAGAGTTAGAGTCATTTCTAGAGTTTCATATTACTCATTATACTATTTTTGAGATTGATCCATTTTTTTGTGTATATCAACAGTCCCCCTTTTTTTTTTTTTTAGGCAGAGTCTCACTTTGTTGCCCAGGCTAGAGTGAGTGCCGTGGCGTCAGCCTAGCTCACAGCAACCTCAATCTCCTGGGCTCAAGTAATCCTGCTGCCTCAGCCTCCCATGTAGCTGGGACTACAGGCATGCACCACCATGCCCGGCTAATTTTTTTCTATATATATATTAGTTGGGAAATTAATTTCTTTCTATTTATAGTAGAGACGGGGTCTTGCTCTTGCTCAGGCTGGTTTTGAACTCCTCGAGCAATCCGCCCGCCTCGGCCTCCCAGAGAGCTAGGATTACAGGCGTGAGCCACCGCGCCCGGCCAACAGTCCCTTTTAATGGGTGAGCAGAATTCCATTGCATGGAAACATCACAATTTGTCTCTCCATTCTTCTGTTGTTGGACATTAGGTTGTTTCCAGTTTTTGCCTCTGATGAATAAAGCTGTTATGAACACTGGTATCTGAGTCTCTGTGTAGACAAGCACTTTGATTTCTCTTGGGTAAATACTTATGAGTGTGATGGCTGCGCTGTGTGGTAAAAACTTTCAAAGAAACTGCCAAAATGTTCTCCAAAGCGGCTGTACCATTTCAAGATCCCACCAGTGATGCATGAGAATTCTAGCTGCTCCACACCCTTGGCAGCACTCGGTGTCATCATCCAATCAAATTTTCTCATCTTTTCGGTGAATAATGGTATCTAATTGTGGGTTTTAATTTTAATTTCTCTGATGCTCAAGGATGTTGAGCATCTTTTCACATGTTTTTTGACCTTTTGGATGTCTTCTTTGGTAAAGCATCTGTTCAAATATTTTGCTCCCTTTCCAGTGGGTAGTTGTTATTCTTGAAGTGTAAGATTCTTTATATATTCTGAATTCAAATCTTGTGTCTGGCGTGTGTTTTATAAGGATGCCTTCTCTCTGTGACTTACCTTTTTACTACCATAACAATGTCTTTTAAATAGCCACATTTTAAAGTTTTGGTGAAATCCAATGTGCAATTTTAAAATGGTTTATGATTTTGTATCCCATCTTGTAAAACTTTCTACAGTGTTCTC